AYAGGTAAAGTAGGCACATAGAATATGGGTKGGAAAGGTGAAGCACCCACACCTGCTTCTCTTATTTGCCCTATTGTTGGCCCATGAGCAAGGCTCTAGTTGCTGCCTAGTCACATTTTATGGCTGACCTGAGTATGCACAAAATGAATTTCCCCATTGTGGATCACTAAAGTAAACATTGTTATTATCAGGGCTGCACAATATATTAAATATTTATCGTCATYGCRAYAACAGCCTGTGAAATATATTGCAAATAAAAACTACAGAAACTGCATTAAAATGGCTAAATTGTTCCGTTTGTGCTATAATTATGTATTGCAAACTATAATGATATAAAATGGCAGTATATATGCTATTGCTATTATTTCTGTTACAATTTTTGTTTTTGCTTTTCGTGCTTTTTTCAAACTTTAAAAAATGTACACGTTTTTAAACACTGCATACTTAAGTATTTGTTCTAAAATGTACACGTTTTTAAACACTGCATACTTAAGCATTTGTTCTAAAAATGTACACGTTTTTAAACACTGCATACTTAAGTATTTGTTCATTTAACGCAAGTCATATTGTCATTACAATATCAAGCACTGTTGTACATCACAGGTTTTCCTAATATTGTTCAGACATAATTATTATTAATTTATATTTTATTGTAGTCCTAGATTATCCTGTTGCACAAAAAGAAACTACACTTTTGAGGTTATTGTGACTTTAAACTGGACATAATCGCCAAGCCAACTGACCTAAAACATTTTTTGGGTGATCTTGTTAATGTCTAGTCACATAAGTCTTAATAACTCAGCTGCTTTAGGATTGAGATCCCATGGTTCTCATGGGACACTGCACAAATGTTGCAGAAGATGGTGGTTTTCAAGTAGCTGCATACAGTCAAAAAAAATATAGACAGCAGATCCCACTCTGATTTTTTGATGAATAACCATGGAGTCTYATTTGTTAAAGTCACATAGTTTATATCTTTCAAACCAAGATCTAAAACATCTAGATTTATCKGGGAGACAGACAGTTTATCAAAACAAATGACAAATGGTCTACAAAACTCAGCCCAGTAACAGTTGGTAATGGGGCTTGGATAATCACTGAAACCCTGGTATGCAACCTCTCATTTCTCACTCCTTCAGGGAAAATCCTTTTGTTTATTAATAGGACATGCTTTCGAGGCTGAAATCATTGGCATGACTTCCTGGTTACTTGTCTGATGCARTCTTGTCTAATGCACCAACTGTTGCTTGCATCTGTCTTTATTGTGGAGTAAAACTGTTTAAAACCAAATTTAGCAGGTCTCGGATTTGCTGTTGCTGGCCATATCTCACATGCCTTAGTCCCATATGACTCCAAAAATAGAGGCTTTCTACCATATACAATGGGTAAAATAAGTATTGAACACGTCAACATTTTTCTCAGTAAATATATTACTAGAGGTGCTAATGACATGAAATTTTCACCAGA